CCCCGGCTGGGCAGCATCCGGCGGGACGTGAGGCTGGAGCAGGCCCAGGAACCCCCCAGCTCCACCCCAGGCCGTGTCCTACCTCCAGGCAGCTTCTCCTTCTCACCCGTGGACAAGCCCAACTGCTCAGCCAACTCCTTCTGCATCGGCCCCAGCGTGTCCTTGTAGGGACAACGGGTGGTCCAGTGGTCGCCTTTGCAGATACGGCACGAGACGATCTTCTGCCCCTTCAGCTTGTTCATGGGATCCTCCTCCTCCTGGCAGTTGAGGTCCTGGGGGGAGGCAGGGAGACTCCTGAGCCCCACAGCACCCCCCACGCAGCCGGGGATGGCTTCACCCCACTCCCAACCCACCTCCTTGCTGGTGATGAAGGTCATGAAGACATCATCGCTCACGGTGGTGGTGGCCACGTTGGGGCCGGGAGCATCAAACTCTGAGTTGCCAAACTTTTTCCAGTTCTGGGCAGGGAAAATGAGGTGGGAAGAGGGAAACCACCCAACGTGGAGTTGGGAACAGGCAGCGGGAAGAGGGAAACCACCCAAGACAGGGCAGTGGGAACAGAAACACTCCCCACCAAGGGGACACTGGGACGGAATGGGGAGAAGCTGAGAGATGAAGCAGATCCTGCTGGAGAAGAGCTTTCCCTCCCTCCCTCCCTCCCTCCCTCGGTATTCCCATGGGAGACGCTCACCTTCCTCCGGGCCACCGCCTTGGAGGCCTTCCTGGTCTCGATGCGGAAGGTGCGGATGATCTATAAAGGTGCCAAACCCCCCCTGATTAACACAGGAATTGTCCCAAATGTGCCACTTCTGGGGCTGCTCAAAGCAGCAGAAGCTCCGGTGGGCCATCCCTATGGATAACGGCTCAGCGCCGGCGGGAATGAGCCCCTGTGCTGAGGGCTCTGGGAGGGCACACGAGAGCTCAGGACACGCTGCTCACCTTCACCTTGCTCCCATCCTCCTCCTCGCGATACTCCGTGACAGTTTTGATGTTGCCATTGATGAGTTCCTTAGGGGAAGGGAGCGGCCCTGCGGGGACAGGGGGACAGTGTCCAACGTGCAGGAGGTGGCAGGAAAACAGCCCCACAGGCCCTCACCCAGCTCTCACCCCCCTTCAGCAGCTCAGCCTCAGCGCTCAGGCTGCCCCCCAGCACCCCTGGCAGGGGGATGTCCTTCAGCAGCTCGCTGGTGATGCATTTGTCTGCAGGGAGAGAAGGCGGAAGAGTGAGGAAAGGAACAAAAAGCC